CAGGTATCAAAGCAGTTGCTGCATGTAAAGAATGGCATGGTAGGACGAGGTCCGATGCATCGAGGCGAGACCCTTGTGATTCGCTTGGAGTGGCACATAATTTACTGAGCACCGCTCACGTTTCGAAGCAGTTGCTGCATGCGAAGCGTTGCATGGTCGGACGAGGTCCGGGGCATCTTGGCAAGGCCCTTGTGATGCGCGTGGAGTGGCACGTTATTCACTGGACCATGACTGCGGAAATAGCAGCTTTTTGTCGGATGCTGTCAATAATATTAAGGCGCCGGTGAGTAGAGAGTGGGGACACTGGACGAAGCTGAGTGCATGTTCCCATTGGTCTTGATGAGACGTAAAACCTCTATAGAGAGGAGAAAGCGTTACTGTATGTTATCTAAAAGATGCAGGGTGTCGACCCTGACCCAAGGTGTGTCTACCGTAGACTATAGCGCGCAGCTATATACCCTTGTCAACTTATGACGGGAGAGGAAGACGGCGACATCACCCTCGAGGCTATTCCCGCGGTGGGTGCTCTTCTTGAGCTGGACGATACATCCTTCGAAGCGTTTGGCGTTGCCTTGAAGTCAGGCAATTGAGCCGAGGTGATCATTATACGACCGAATGAGGAGATTAATTCGTCCTCGCTTCTGGATGAAGGTGTCCTGGAGAACACCAAGAGGGTGCTGAACGCACGACGCGGAAGATCAACCCTGAAGGATCCGTACTATCCTATGGTAAATGAATTCAAAGACGTCGACTTTAAAGACCCACCGTCAAGCCTATATCTGGGCCGTGGCGTGCGTCACGAAATCAATCTGGTTCCGGAAACCAAATACTGCATAACACGCCAATGGCCTATGTCCAAGAAGCAGTGTGACGTCCTTGACGTCTTCATCCGTGGGAAGCACGACGCAGAATTTGTGCGTTGGAGGAAATCCCCACGTTAGACATCCACGTTCTGTTTCCGGAAGCCGATCGGTAAGTGGCGTATCGTACACGCTTACAATAACTCAACGCTGCCATCATTCCGGCCAGACAGCCTCCTGCATGCACCAATGCCGGCGTTGTCAGAGCCTGAACGTTCTCTCAGTGTCTTCTATGACGCTTCGCTATCGACTGTGCACTGCTGAGAGCAGACACCGAGGTAAGATCGGGTGATAGCGTTCGAGTGTCGCCATTATCCGGAGAAGACGACTGCAGTAAGCCTGGATACAGCAGCTTCTCAACTTTATTCTTGCATCCGCTAAAGTGTCATTCGCTCATGTAAATAAAAACGTGGAGACATCTTGTTTGTCAGCACCTCAATTTGCGGTTTTGATGAGCTGAGTGGTACCCCAACTCCAAGTTGCTCGGACAAGGGCAAGAGTAGGGCTTGGAGTGGAATGCCTGATGTGCTCAACAGTCGTGTCGTTAAACAAAAATCGATTATCGTTAAACAGTGCTACCAGATGCAAGAGGGTGCTATTCACAAACAGTCTCTCAGACACAACACCCATGCTTGTGCGACGAGAAACCGATTCCCGACGTGGGGGAGAGGAAATTCCAACTTGGAGGGGATACGAATTACTTAACACCTTCAAGGTATTTTTATCTCAATTAAACTGCGTTAACGGCTTCAAGCTACATGCAAATCACCACAAGGGCTCCTAGAGACTTTGCTGATATAACTTTGGTTGCCTGATGTATATATCATGGATGTACTGAGGTTGAACCTCAGCTTCGATTTATACAATATCTTTGGTATGCGGAGCTTGAGCTTCAACTTTTGTAAGTTTCCAGTAGAAGTGACTGGCTTACGTTACCCACTGCTAAAGGCAGATACATATCGGTCTCGCCATTAGTACAGATCTTCAAGTAGGAAAGAGCATTTTGTATTACAAAGACCGTTAGAAACTTCATACAAATAACCACTTATGCAAGGAGCACCATACTGTAATCTTATATTACAAATTTCCACAATGCATACAGAAGGTACATAAAGGTGCTTTCATGTAAAAACTAAGTGATGCTCATTACATCTTCAGAAAGGCTGATATTCTGGTACTTGTGAACATTTACAATAGATCAGAACTTATTGTTACGCCGACCGTCGCTAAGTAGTAGATCATACTGGCTTAATACCTACTTCCTGTTATAAAAAATTCAATCACCACGCCTCGGCTTCGGCTTCCCTAGCGAGCAATAAGCCTGAACTCCACTCCACCTTATGCACTTCACCGTTCCTGCTCCTCAGGGCAATTCGTTTCTTTAGCTTCACCTGCGCACCAAATTTAATTCTCAATTATCTCCTGTTAGACCGCACCAATTAAGCAACGCGCTTAATGATAAACCAGCGGGGCGACAGATGTGTTCTCAGATAAAAACGGTTTAAGTGTTTGTTCGAACCCTTACTACGTATTTCAGATGTCCTTCTGCAAGCGTAGCCTACGCCAACCGCGCTTAGCCTTAGTCTCGAACCCCGTGTCGTCGAGTCAGACACAATTACCGTTGTGTATGGGGGAATCACGCCGCTATACTTGTCTAATGATTGACCACTCAGATAACAAAACCGCACGCATTCTTCGAGGCGACAAATCATTTTTCAAGTTTGTACTGCATGAAGCCTGCCTCGTGTTCATGAGAATGTCATAGAAAATACCATGCCTGGATCTAATTGACCGCAAATTTGGCTGCCTTTCACTGGTTGGAGCGCTCTGCGATGAGCAGCCACGGAAGGAAAGCTTTGATGAGCGGTCGTGGGACCTCCCTAGCTCAAACCGCGTGTATGGATTTATCAAGTAATATGCTGACATGTTCCAGGCAAGATGCCGGACGAATCACCATCTGACAGAGGCATTCGTCATGAGATTGACATACTTCCTGGTACGAAGTTTTGTATCACACAGCAGTAGCCGTTGCCAAAAGAACAAGTCGTTGCAATTGACGACATCTTTGCGCAGCAACAGAAGGCTGGTCATGTGCGTGAGCGTAAGTCTTCGCATTGTAGTCCAACCTACTGTGTGAAAAAACACAGGTAGCTGGCGCATTGCTCGCGCTTTTAACAAATTATACGATGCGACCATACCTGCCCAGACATCGATTCCACGCAAGGATAGAACTCTTGATGGATTGGTTGGCAGTACTATTCTCAGTGCGATCGATCAGAAAGGTGGTTTCTATCAGATAAGAATGCGCGAAAATGATGCACCACTTATTGCAGTCAGTACCATCAGTGATATGCAGTTGGAATGGTTAGTGATGCCCCAAGGCGATCCCGCGACTTTCAACAGAATGGTAACGAATCTTCCTGGAACACTGAGATAGTTCGCAATGAGTTAACTTGACAAAATATTCGTTTATAGGAAGAAAACGGGTGAGAAGTCTGATGTCGATGTTCATCTTGATCATCTTCCAAGTTATTTGAGAGAATAACCTGTACGATTATTTGTAAATGTGCATTTTCTTTGCACCGAGATCCCCGTTCTCGGCTGCTTTGTGGGCAAGATTGGCGTTCGTGTAGATCTGGAGAGAGTCAAAGCTATCAATGATTGGCCTGTGTGCCAAACAATATGGAAAGCTGAGATGATTGTTGGATTGGCCGACTAATTGCACAAAAACACATACAATTATGCAGCGTTGGTGCAACACTTACTGACTTTTTCAAAGACAAGCGTTGAGTTTGAATGGTCAATGGATCTCCAGGCGGTATTTGCCAAAAAGATGAAGAGCTTCAGAAAGGCTCCTATTTGCGATTGTAAACCACGATAAACGTTATTCATATGGTCAGCGACGCAAGTGATCATGCAACACGATGATGAGGGTCGAGAGCGAGTTGTTTCGTATCAGTCGCGACAACTCCACCCCCCAGAAAAAAACTATCCAATCCATGACAAAGATCTACTAGCAATGAAGTATGCTTGGGTAAAGCTCCGTGTGTACTTGCTTGGAGAGAAGCGCTTTGCGATCTATACAGATCATACCTCATCGAGTACGGCAGTAAAGACTACCA